CAACAGGTTGAGGGTTTGTTCAATAAGTATGACCTTAAGTGTCATATGAACATGAATCTTGAAACTAAAAAAGCTAACCTTCGTCTTTCGGGTATCAAGCAAGTTTCTTTCTCTAAAGAAGAGTTGGCGGTACAAAGAAAAAATAAAAGAAACTTAAATAAGCGAGATAATAAAAAACAAGTTAACAAAAAACATGCAATATTTGGAGAAATAGAAGCTGATATACTGTTTAAGAACTTGTTCAATAAATAAAAGAAATAATAAGTGAAAGTTAAATTTTCTGCTGTTTAAGCTGTTTAATGTCAACGTTAATGAGTTGTTCAATAAATAGAGAAATAATAGATTAGTTAATTTTTCGAACTTTCTGAAATTATTTAAAAAACCGGTAAAAAACCCTCATATATCCCTGACTATGATTTGATTTACCTATTATTTTGAATACCCTAACATTTCACTGACAATTACTTACTTTAATTCATTTTACCAACAGTTTATTTCATCAAAGCTCATTTCACTGACAAGTTTTTTTTTTATAAATTATATTAACTTTAAATTTAGTTCTAACCTACTTTAATGATATTGACAGAATTACTTTGTCTGCTAAATGGGTTTCGGTGAAATAAACTGTTGGTGAAATAAACTTAAAGTAATTGTGATGTCTACGAAGTGATTGTCAGTGAGTTGATGAGATCCTAATAGTTAGAGGTGTAGGTTATAATGAGGATCGTGGCTGTAATGTGTATTATTATCTGGTCATTGTATAAAGATTGTAGGGTATAAATTATTTATGTCCTGGGCATTTGTGCATAAGTGGGAATTCATTCTTGCTTAGGCCATTCAAAGTTAATTTTTTGGTTATCACTACTTTCTAGGACTCTCAGAAGAGGGGGAAGGGGGCAAATGAAACGAACATATGAAATGAATAAAATATTTTTAATGTAGCGAATCTATTATAATGAATTAACTTCAAGTTAAATTTAGTTTAGAGATTCCAGTTGAGTTGCTAATTAGGTCAGATAAATTTGATTCAGTAGTTATCATTACATTCTTATTATAAAAGAGAGGAGCAAAAATAAATAAATAATTAAATAATTAATTATATAATGCATTCATCCCAGGAAAAGAGCTTCATACGTACAATTTTTTACAGCTAAAACTCTCGTGATCTAGTGATCGGATCTGCATCATTTTGAATAAAAAACACGTTAGAAGCTCTTTTTTGGCAGTTTTTCTTGAATCGTTTTATCACAAATTGAAATAAACAAATTTTGGCTTTATTTTTATTATTTATTCATTTTTATCGTTTTTTTTTAAAAAAAATTATTTTTTAAATTATTTTATTTTATATTTGCCGTATAACCGCAAAATATACATAGGGATTATGAATTATGTTCTCTTTTTAAGCTACTTATGTGTTTCTCATTATAGTAAGACCCGGTAATAAGAATACATATATGTATATATATATTCATGATCAGGTTTTACCATTCAATAAAAGAATTCAAGTTTTTTACATAATAGACATATAAGCATGATTAATCGTGACAGATACAAAAATTTAATGTAGTATATTAATAAGGAAATCATGTGAAGTACATAATTAAGTTATCTAAATTATCGTAAAATCATTAAAAAAAAATTTTTTTCATAGATTAATAATAGCATTACAAAGAAAATCACATATTATTTGTTAAAGAGGCAAGTTATAGATATAGCAGAGACAGAGACGATTGGAAGTGAATCCCTATTGCCCACAATCAATTACAAACTAAATTAATTATATTGGATTCAAATCTGATGGATATACCAGGTTTAATATATACGGAACATTAATGGAAGCTGCTGTAAGTAGTAGACTATCAAATCATTAGCAGAACAAATAATCTAATTCTTTAGAAATTGATTAAATTTGCATAATTTTCTTTTAGCTCTAGAGCAAAAGCATAGACGCATTTTGCCAAAATGGATGAAAACAGATATTGAAACTAGGTTTATTCATTATAATAATTCACCTAAAATAAACCAAACAGGTTCATAATACACTGATGATCTGAGCAGCAAATTCAGGAAACAACATTTCACAATCATGAGATTGTTGAATAGGTGCATTTTTAATTTTAATAACACAAAAAAAAAAAAATTAAACAGCAAATAATTAGGTCAGCGAACGTAAAATACTTAGGACACCTTTAAATTTAATTATTATCAATTCATCTGGACGGTAAAAAATTCGAAAGCAAAAAACAAAAAAATAAGAAAATCTCAAAATCGGATTTTAGAATTAACACCAAACCAAACATTTTTGCGAAAAACTCAGTATTAAAGCATAAATAGAGATTAATTTCGCATAGTATAATTGACCTTCACAAGAGCAAGTGCAAGCACAAGAGAAAGTGCAAGCGCAAGTGCAAGTGCAAGCACATGAGCAAGAGCATAAACTATATACAACGATTTCAATTTTGCGATACAGTAAATATTCTTTTTTAGGTATTTTTTCGCTAAAAATAGAGGTTACATATCAACTGATAAGCACAGAAACTACCTTTATAGTAAGCATATGTATCACAAGATTGAGGTCGGCTCTCAAGAGCATTAATTAAAATTGATCTACAGATCTACATATATAGTGTAAAACAAACAAATGTGATATAAACAAATAACTAACTAATTAAATTTATTATGTGATATTTAGTGAAATTACCGAAGATTACTTATTACTATAAAAGGAAATTTTACAATTTGATATCCAATAAAAAACATTAATTTACTATTAGATTTTGTATTATCACATTTCGCAGATCAGCCACATAAATCTGCCCATATTAGTCACACGATTTGTCACATGTAAATTTTTATATATATAAAATTATAAAAAAATATATAAAATTACTATAAACTTTGATTTTGTAATATTTCTTCACCTACATATTAATTTAAAATTAAATTGTGCAACAATATATAATACGAAATAATGAAAAAAGTGAGCTTAGAAATCAAATTAAAATTTTGTAATTTTTGCAGATTTTAAAAATGCAA